CTGGATGCCAGCAGGACCCCTCCTAACCAATCACGACAATCAAAAATATTTCCAGATGTTGTCAAATGTCCCCTGGGGGCCAAAACTGTCCCTGGTTAAGGACAACTAGTGTGATCAATAAATATTAACTTCTGCTATAATAAAACATTCCCTTTGCTCACCTACAAACTAGAATTTTATCCATGGAGACTTGACACATAATTAATTTCTAAATACTAGTTAACTCATATATACCACATATACGAGATCCCACCAAAGAAATGTTGATGAGCTGAATATTTGCCTATAACATTTTGGCACCATTATTTACGCAACTGTAAGGAAAGCTGTATATTAAACAGTACACTCAGTTTAAATAACATGTACCTGACAATAGCTAATGGTCAATGATGTTCAGCAACCTCTTTCTTAATCAACTGGTTAAAATGAGATCCTTTGTCCTAAGATCAAACATCCCCCTTCATTACAAGGCCCAGAATTATATAAATGAGACCACTTAACTTACATTTTCCAATTTTCTCCACGAATGGATCTAACATGCTGTGTTCCTTGCAAAGGAATAGACTGCGAGATCAAAGTCTCCCAAAATTTACTAGAAATCCTTAAATTTTATACTTAAGACAGGTGATTTTAGGTATGCAAATCATTCATATCTCTATAAACATGTTAAAATATTCATTTCTGTAACCAATGCCTTTCTTTCTGGTGCTGAACAGATTAGCTACCCTAAGCATCAGGTTAGATGCTTGGACCTTGAAAAAAAAAATCTGCTAATGCAGAGACAACTACTGTGCTAACAACAGTTGCTATCAAAATGGGACACTTAACAGTTTTTCTACTCCTTAAAATATCCATATTGGTCTGCATCACTTCACTATGGTGTGGATTGGAACTTTAGCTGCTGAGTGCCTCTCTCAGAGTTTTGGTCAAGTTCTGTGTTCCTACTGTTTGGTCAGTAAACTTTGCAAGCATGTGTGCCTATGTGTTAGTCACTCGGTTGTGTTCGACCCTTTGTAATCCCATGAACTGTAGCCTGCCAGGCTCCTCTGTCCATGGAATTTTTCAGGCAAGAACACTAAAGTGGGTAGTATAGAGAACAGGTAAAAATGAACCCCACTTTTCTCAAGTCACTTAGTCAATATTCTTGACATATTTACCATATCAATTCTTACCTTGGCACCGGGAATAAAAATATGATTGGGATGGCCCTTGCCTCTGGAGAGAAATTATTTAGGAAATAAAATTAGAATACCTTAGAAGAGATTTTAGATTTTGATATGTTAAAGTTCACATTTTAAAGCAAATAATTCAGAATTTATTCTCTATTACTTTCAAAATTCAGAAATATGAGCTTATCGAAAATTGAGATTAAGTATTTTATATTTGTCAGAGGGAGAGTCTAGAAGCACAGGGAAGTCAGAAAACACTCCAAGGAGGGGAAGAAGTTCCCTGCCTCCTTGTACCTTCCAATTTTTCTCAGTTCCTCCCATCTGTGTATTTATTTTCTTCTCCTGGTTCTCTCCACCCCAGCATGATGGAAACAGTACGTTTGCCTCTTGGTTTATTGGGCCTGGTCTCTTCATTGAGAGTGTAGTATAGAATTAACACCATGATCTAGGTAACTAGATCATAACAACTCAAGTTATAACAACTAAAGACAAAGTGGCTTTCTGTAAGTTCAATCCAATGTATAGAATCCTTATTGAGTGCCTACTATACTCCAGGGGCGACACTGGGTTATGCTGTGAAGGACAAGATGAAAAGTAGAAAGTCTTTGACCTCTAGGAGTTTCTAAATGACTGTTCAGCTTTTCAATTCACTTATCCTGTGCAGACATGGCTTTAAAAATAGCTGCTATTTTAAAGGTCTCGGGTAGTGGTGGGGGGGCGGGGAGGAGGATAGGGAGTAAGGGAGAGGCTGTCAATCACAGAGTCTGGTTATTATTCATTTCTATCTAGAGGGCTGGCAAAAGAAAGAGGTTGGGAATTATTTATTGAATAAATGAATGAATGCAGACGTATACTGCCAACTTGAAGATAAAAATAGGCCGCCTCAAATCCTGGTAAATTTTACTTCTTGATATGGATATTTTTAAAATTTATTTCCTCATTTTATCCCCAAATCAACCCAGAGTAAGGTGAGGGAGATAGTAACCCCAACCCTATTTTAGATAGAACTTCAGGGACCCAAGACCACACATTTAGCAAGTTATAGAGTGAGTGACAAAACTATGTGGCCCTTAGAATCCCAGGTTTGCATTTCCAATAACAACAGAAAAATGGATTAGGGGCCTGACACACACAGCAGGTTCTAGCACTCTAGAGAGACTTGGTGGGCCAGAGAGAAAGTCCTACCACTCCTTCCTGTGTAGTGGGAAAGCAATTAAGAAAATTTAGCATGCTAGTGGCAGCTGGAGAGTTGGCAAGTTCCTCAAGAAAAGGACTGTAAGCAATGTCATAGGCCAAGAAGATGGATGGGGCCCATTTATGCACTGAGGCTGACGTATAAATGGAACCCGGCCCAGTTTGACTGCCCTTTCTTCAAAGATGTCATTGACAGATGAGTATCTAAATGTTTTTGTTTGAAAAAGAAAACAAAAAAAGAGAGAAAGAAGAGAATAACACACACACACACACAAAACGAAAACAAGAAACTCTTTCTATCCCAAACAGACACATGCAGCCAATGAACATGAGAACACCAGATCAGATCTGGGAGCACTGCAGGCTTTGCAAAGTAGTTCTTGATAATAAACTGCAAAGTTGCACACCTTTCTTTCAGATAAATTTCAATTCAGCACAAGGATTTCATTGAAATCCCAAATTACTGCCAGTTGGCTGTATCCCATGTGCTGTTGGAGGCACACTGGTTGGGGGACAAGCCTGCTCACATATTTTTCTTCATCTGCCAAAACAAGGTTTCTTCCCCAATTAAAATGGGCTTTTTAATTTTAAAGCAGTAAACAATGTCTACTTAATTTGTAGAGAATACACAGAAGAAAGTTGCCGAACCTAATCATCCAGTGACATGACGGGTGAGTCAGAGCCAAAGAAATGTGGGGAAGTGCTGAGGAGGCCTCTCTGCTTTTGGAGACATAATGGTTCTTTTGAGGTCACTGCCTTCCTGATGCTGCATCCATGTCGGCCTTCAAGATCAAATATGAGCAGTTCTGTTTTACCTTATGTCTACTCAATATACTTTCAAAAAGGAGATTAATAATCACCAGATTTAAAAGGTAACGACTAATTACAGTTCCCTGGATAACCTTGTTTTTTGTCTTTCTCTGCAACTGCCTCCTGAAAATGGGCACCAGTTGACACACATTGAGGTGCAGTAACCAGGAGGATGGTTCTTCTACCCACTCAGGGTGGGCCAACCATGTCTCATGACTTGCCTGTGGTCTCTGGCCAACTATATAACTCAACAGTAGACAAGCACACCATTTGGAAAAGTCACGATCTTCTCCAGACTAGATACACAGTGCCCAGGCTGAGTCCATGTTTTGTCCATACTCAGCCAAATAGACATTTATGAAATCTAAGTCATTTGGAAACATTTGAACATGGTTTGTAAACTTGGACAGATGTGGCTGGGGTGGGCACAGTGATCCTAGAGCCAAAACAGAGCATCCTTCATGATGACTTTATGAGAAATTCAAGGAAAAGGTTTTAGAAAGAAATTTCAAACAGACAATTTGGTTCAGACCATGTCATTATCAGGTGGCGCATGTGGCCTCAACTCCAGAGAGATTACATGCCTCCAGAACTAGCTGGCTGGGTCAGGCTGGAGGTGAGTAAGGCTGACCTTCAAACAAAAATAAATCTTGCCGAGCTAAATGATCCTGTCTCCTACTTTCCTCAAGGAACATGAGACACTAAGAACAAAATGTGAAGACAGCAGCCCTAAATTTTCACAGTCTTTATCTCCTGGCTGATTAGTTATAGGTCTGCCTAGTTGAAGATGAGCTACCGGTCAGATATATATGACTGTCTTCCTTGCCATATCCAATAGCCCAGGAATAACCAGGGCAATGGTCACCAAATGTTTCAGTCCTGCTAATATTTAATACAGTTATGATGTATAGGCTATGTCAGAAAATAAAGCCAAAGGACAACCATTTCAAACATGTCTGATCCATTTCAATTCCATCCCACAGTGTGTCGAGTCACAGAAGTAGATATTAAAAATCATTCTATGGTACAACTTATCAAAAGCCAATTATCAGGATGATACTTAGACAGTCTCACTCATTCATTAACCAAAGGCTCCAACAACTATTTATCAGAAACAAACAATGTGCCAGACACACTCTTAGGTTCCATTTTCTCAGCATCTGTTCCCAAAGGAGGGTTTATGACAGTTTCTGGCCCTATAGGCAAAATATCACCAACTGAAAGCCTCCAGTCAGTCAAAAAAATCTATTTACACTCTTAAGAGTGAGAGAGATGGGAAAAGTCAGATACAGGGTTTCTTTGACAATTCAAAACTCAATCATGAAATGGCTTTTCCCCTGGTCCCAAACCTAGCACCTGCAGATACATCTAACTCTAATCACCCAGGGGGATTAGGGTGATGAAAATCTCAGGTTCTCCAGAGAAGGGCACATTTCAGCTTGTATTTGCCAAAAACAAACCCACAATTTCCTTGCATGGACCCTGTTATCCCAACGACATAGAAACGGGAGATCTGAAGCTTACTTTAAATTGGCATGGCACCTACTGTCAAGAAATGATCTTCTGCACATACCAAAAATTTCCTTCTGGCTCAGAGTCTATGGATAAAAGTCCTGGGAAATAGTTCTGCTTTCACATTAAATTCAACCAGCTGTCAGAACCTTGGGTTGGAGGAGATGATGCCAAGCTGAAGAGGATATAGTTTTTAATGTTTGTTTGTTTGTTTTTTTAACCTTTCAAAGCCTTTCTGATACATGGAAGTAGCTGGTGAATGATGAATGGACATCATGCTCATTTTATACCCACTGACTGAAATACATCATTTACCTGCCACCACAGGAGATTTCCGTTCATCCAGGAGCTGGATGGAGGTGCTTGCTGTCACTACATTGCTTTTGTTGACTGTTCCTATAAGAAAAAAATAAAAGATTAGTCACCAAATCTGCACCAGTTCTCACTTCCCAGAACTCAGAGCAGATCTGCCCTGTTAGGCCCAAAGTGTGGGGTAGGCAGTCCTCTTAGCTTAAGAAATCAATGCACCAAGTTATGACACCCCCAACTGGGGAACATCTAGCTACTTCACATCAAAATTATTAATCACTACAGAGGGACCATATTTTTAAAAACTTGTGGTTACTAATATCAGTGTTTACTGTCAGTTATCATATCTACATTGCCTTTCTAAACATAGCCATAGAGAGCTGCTTGAGATAAAGTACTGAAACTATTTTACAGTGAGCTGAGAATTTTAGCTGTGATTTGTTGGTTAAAACTTTACTGAGATATAAAATTTTAATTTCAAGCCAAGTTTTTCTGAGCAAAACTATTCTAAATAGGGATAGAGCTGGAATTAAATCCTTGCCCCATACTCTTATTAATGTGGTAACAATATGGTATTAGTATAAAGAGATTTTTAATTACTAGTGATGGTTCTAACACTCATGCATTAAAAGACACTGAACACAAATTCCTAATGCCCATAGTTAATAACTGTTACTCCAGTGGCTGCCTCATAAAAGGTTCAGTGAATGTGAGTTGAATGCAATTCAATTGAATTTAGAAGCAGGGAGAAGGCAGATCTGAATTTAAATACACTTATGACCAAAACAATTAAGAATTTTCTGGCCTGAGTTTAAGCCGTAATAAAAACCAGCTTCTTTCCCAGTGTGTATAGGTATTCAATACACAGGAGAAAAACCAAGAAAGCTCCACCAGAATACTTGTGTGTGGTGATTTTTAACATTTTCTCCAAGTCTAAAGGGGCCACAAAACTTCCTAAGATATTATGTCATCCATAACTTTATCATGAATAAGGTAAATTCCTTTTTATTATGTGATTTCATTCAAAGTTCAGTGAAAACCCCACTTGCCAAAAACCAATTAGACAACAGCCTTAATTAATCAGAATTCTTTTCCAGACATAATTCTTTGTCGGAAAAATGGTGAATAACAACAAAACAAACTGAACGGAGGAGCCATTACACATAAGCACGCGCACACACACAGACACACACACATGCGACACTTCTGGGGGACCTTCTCATTACCCGCAGCTCCTCCTCCCTGTCCAGGTTTGGGAAAACCCCCTTCTGGATAATTTAATGGCTCCAGTCCAGATCTAGAAAGCTAAGTTTTAGTTTTTTACTTCAGAAGACTACAAAAAACAAAGTATCATGGAAGTGTATGATAAAAGAAGACATTATTACTGATAGGTTTGCAGAATTAGAAAGTCCACTGTTTCTCAGTTGATATTTTCAGCAATAAAATGTGATACAGACAAACATAAAGAAATTCTTAGTACCTAGAAATTTATATTTGAGAACACATACATGTGCATGGGTGTGAGTTAACACAGGCCTGTCAGCAAAGGAGTATAGATAGACTCCAAGAATCTTGCTTCTTAAAGGAATCTAACTGATAATCTCCTCTAAAATCCCACCTAGGGAGGGAATTTCTACAATAACATTTGGTCTTTTTTTGAATATCTTCATTAATGAGGGACCCTATTCCTAATAAGTTCATTCAACTAATTATTAGACAACTCTTATCAACATGTCTTCCAAAATTTTTGAAAACTTTATTTTTAAAGATGTTTCATTTAGGGAAATAAGCAAGTGCCAAAACTCAGGAAGGAGCTCTGACACTAAAGCATTAGAGAGTCCCCATTAGGGGTGACTTGGGAATGCTTGTAAGAGATTAATACAGAAGCCTCTAATATAAAACATAAGCATATACTGAAGTGTCCAGAGCAATCCAAGTTTCTAGTACTATGTCTTATTCATCTCTGAAGCTTTTACAATGCGCAATACAGAGCCTTATACAGAATGAGCACTAAAACTATCAGACACATGAAACAGAGATGGTAGGACGGCATCACCAACTCATGGACATGAGTTTGAGCAAGCTCTGAGAGATGGCGAAGGACAGGGAAGCCTTGCGTGCTGCAGTCCATGGGGTCGCAAAGAGTTGGACATGACTGAACGACTGAACAACGAGATAAGAAAAAGCCAAGGGCGACTGAAAAGCCTTTCCAGTTTCTCTTGCTTCTAAAACTGGTTGAAATAAAGTAATGTTCAGTTCTCCTTTGGAGGGAGGAGACCTTGGCATTTTTTTTATAATATCGTAAAACCTAAAGACTAGAAGGATCATTGGCTACATGCCTCTCATTGGTCACTGCAGCTCCCTGTCAGGAGAGCAAAAAGCTACACAAAATCTTAGTCATTACTTTTGTGTGTTGATTTAAATCAGCTCTGTTGAGGAATTGTGGGCCTCCAGAGTGATGTGACTTGCTGAAGATTCTGGCAAAAGATGTTATGACTGTGTGAATTTTCTCTAAGTAGGACCATGACCACATTTTAGATTAAAAAAAAAAAAAATCTACTGAGACGTTTGTACGCAAATTCTACATGGTACAAAATAACAGTCCTGCTTCCTGGCATGTGTTTTGCAGAGTCTGGTCAAGTAAAAATGTCCTTGCACTTGGGGTAACAACACTTACGGAGCTGGTCACTGGTTCAGGCGAGACCAATATTCAGCACTGGCTCTCCTGGCTGCCTCCAGGATGCTCCCTCACCCTCTGCATGCAACGCTCAGGCCAGCAGGACCAAGGGACAGAGCCAGCCTCCAACAAGGGCACCCACCTGTGCTGAATGGGATCGAATAGACGAAGCTCCCTGGGATCTGCTCGGCAGCTCTTCGGTACCAGAGAGGGAAATGGTCTGCATTAAAGATGTTCTCCTTGTCTCCTGCTTTCAGGAAGTCCCTTGAAATAGAACGGAATAAGAGCATGGCGCCACTGAACGAGGAAAAGCCAGACACAAGTACATCCCAGCAACTTCTGCTGGGTAAAACCAGTGTTGCTTTTAGAACGCTGACCTGATTTTTCTCTCTACAGAGAGGACCTGTGTAGCATGCACCCCAGATTACTCAGAAATATCTTGTATAACCCTGCAGTCAGACTCCCAGTGGGTGAAATGATTTTTCCTAGTATACCTGGTGAACGAATAGT